TAAACAGCTATAACAGCCATTCTGAAGCCATGGAGTATCAAACTGAATTCTATACTTTCATTGTCAACTACACTTTTATGAATTCAACCACCACACACAAAACCCCCCAAACCTACAGCAGTTTAAAGTAAACTATTACTTTATATCCTCTTACCGGCTACCATTTATTGTTCTCCTTTTCACATGTTAGACTGTACCCACTTGCACATTTGTTTACATACATACATGTAGGATATAGGTTAGGGTCCTCATATGAGGGAGACCATGTTTTCTCCTTTAGTTGTGTGACCTTATTATACATTCCAGTTCCACTAATTAAATTTTGTGACTTTTTTACAGCTGAGTAGTATTCCATTTTAAGCATACATATTCTAGTCATTTGTTGATGGACAACTAGACTGTTTCCACTTCCCTTCTGTAGGGAGTACAGTGGTAATAAACATGGGGATGGAGACCTCTATATGGGAGCACATGGCCAGGCATGGAACAGCTTGGTTACAAAGGAGTTCTATTTTTAATGTCTTGAGGAAACTCCAGACTGATTTCCATAATGGATGTATTAAGTTGTACCCTACCCGAATTAGGAGTTCCTTTCTCCACATCCTCTGCAACATTTGTTCTTTACAATGTTTTATTTTGCGGGGCAGTGATGGCTCATGCTTTTAATCCCAGTACTTGGAAGCCAGAGGCCTCTTTGTTTGAGGCTAGCCTGATCTACAGAGTAAGTTCTAGGACAGATAGGGATATACAGAGAAACCCTGTCTCAACAAAGAAGCAACAAGCAAGCAAGCAAAAGATAATGAAATAGGGAAAATGCAAGGATGAAGATTTTAAGAGTTCAGTGGTACATATGATCAATGACACTAAATATAAAACAGGGTGGAAAGCATCACCAATTAACTCAACTGAACAGAAGAATGCCGGGGTGGAGGATGTGAAGGCTAACACTGTTAACGTAATGGAATCTGGAATCACTTAGAAACAAGCCTCCAGCACATGAGGGATTCCCTTCATTGGGTTAACTGAGGTAGAAGGCCCTCCCTAAGATGGGCACCATTCCCTGGACTTGGGTCCTGGAAAAGAAAATCAACTAAGAACCAGCACCATTATGACACAATGTGACCAGCTGCTTCCAGCTCAGTGGGCCAAGATGCCTGCAACTAATCCTGATGACCAAGTATCTAACTTATGGGAGAAGAGTCCCACAAAGTTGTCCTTTGACCTCCAAATGTATGACATGGCACATATGAACATGTACACCAAGACCTTAATGCAAATAGTGACAGTCTACATGAGGAGGTGAAATCTTTATAATTTTTTTTTATTTCATGTGCATTGGTGTTTTGCCTGTATGTATGTCTGTGTGAGGGTGTCAGGTCACCTGGAACTGGAGTTAGACAGTTGTGATCTGTGGGTGCTGGGAATTGAACCTGGATCCTCTGGAAGGGCAGCCAGAGCTCTCAACCACTGAGCTATCTATCCAGTCCTGTTACCATTTTTCTCCTTTGATAACTGTTTTGGTTTTGATTGTTGTGAGATGGAATCTCTGTAGATTATATAATGTGAGAGTATTAGTGCATGTATGCCATGACATGCAAGTGGAAGCCATAGGACAACCTCAGGTTGGTCCTCATCTTCCACTTTTTTGAGATAGGGTCTAATGTTGTCCACCACTACATGGCAAGCCAACTGACCCATGAGCTATTATTAGAAGCCCCTTGCCTCCATTCCAATCTCAGAAGCACTGAGATTACAAACATGCTCCCATGGCATTATGTCAGTCTGGGCATCAAACTCAGGTTCTCATAGTTGTGTGATTGGTATTTTACCCCCTGAACCATCTTCACAGCTCCTCAAATCAATCTGCATTTCTGATGGCTAAGCATATTCATTTCCTTGAGAACTATTTGAGAACTGTGCAGTTCACTTACACGATTTTGTTTTAAGTTCTTCATATATTCTACACATCCTTGTTGAGTCACCACTTTGACAAAGGTTTTTTCCATCATATAGACTGCCACCACTTGCCAGCTCTTGGGATTAATGTCCTATGCCATTGGAATTCTTCTCAGAAAGCTTCTTAGTTTTTATATTTTTCTCTACCAGTTTGAGGACTTCAGGTCTTATATGAAGGTGAGTGTTGAAAAAAGAGAAGCTTGCCTTATACATTGCTGGTGTATAGGCTATAAACTTGTACAGCCACTACTGAAGTCAGCATGGAGGTTTCCAAAACACTAAAGGTGGACATACAGCTCATACATGCATGTATGTCAGCCACACATTCCCAAAGGACTCTGAGTCAAAGTACCAGAGATACTTGCACTTTCATGTTTATTGTTTCACAAGCTAGACTAACCCCCTTTAACTTAACGAATGGATTAAGAAAGCATGGAATATACATCAAATTATATTCATTTGTGAAAATAAGAAAATCATGTCATCTGCGAGTAAATGGATAAAATGAGAAATTATTATTGTAAGTGAAATAAGGGAGACTCAGAAAGACAAGTAGAAAGGAGGAAACCTGAAGGGAGGCTGACCAACCACGTAGTGAAGGAAGGGAACCAGGCAGACAGGGGTAGCTGACAGAAAAAGGACTAAGCAGAAAAACTGTTATGTATGTATGAAAATGTTACAATGGAATGCCTTACTTTGAATGCTAACTAAAAATAGAAAAAAGAAATCCTACTGAGGAAGGAGATTATTTGTTCACTTAAAGACTCGGGTACATGGGCTGGAGATTTGGCTCAGTGGTAGAGCACTTGCCTACCATGCATAAGACCCTAGGTTCAATCCCCAATACCACCCCCAACAATTACAATTATTGGCTGTAATTTTTATCCAGGCAGTTGTAGTGTACATCTTTAATCCCCGCCCTTGGAAGGCAGAGACAGGTGGATCTTTGTGATTTTGAGGCCAGCTTGGTCTACAGAGAGTTACAGCAGTCAAGACTACACAGAGAAATCCTGTCTTGCTCCTGGGTATGCAGATCAGTTTGTAGAGTGCTTGCCTAACATGCCCATGGTTCAATCCCCATCACTACATACAACCAGATATGATAATGCAAGTTGGCAAACCCAGCACTTGGAAGGTGGAGGAAACAGATACAGTGTTTAATGTACATCCACCTACATATAGAGTTTGAGGCCTGACTGGACTACAAGACACTGTTCCAAAAACAAAACAAACTAGGAGCAATCAGTCAGTCATGTTGGTGCATGGCTATAGTCCCAGCACTTGTTAACTGAAACAAGAAGATCATCAATCTGAAGTTAGCACGGATTACCCAAGTCACTACCCAAAGAGAGGGGAAAACAAACAAATAAACAAAACAAAACAAAAAAGAGACCCCGTAGGTGGGAAAATAGCTCAATGTCTAAGAGCAAATGCTACTGCTCAATCATGAGAATCTAAGGATCATAGCTGGATCCAACCTCCCACATAGAGCAGTTCACAAAGGCTGGCAACTCCAGCTCCAAGGGATCTGATGCCCTCGTCTGGTTCACCCATGGGTGTCAGCACACAGTTTCAGAGACATGCACACAGATGTGTGCACACATAGAAAGAGGTCAGCAAAATGACTTGCTATGCAAAGGCACTTGGGTGTCCGCTAGCCTGACAAGCTGTGGACATCCAGGTCCAGTGGCTCAAGGAGAGGATCTGCTCATCAAGGTTGTCCTCTAACTAACACACATGGCCATAGCACTGGTACACCTGCATTCACACACACCAAATTAAACCTGATTACCTACCTGCTTTCAATCCCCAGATCCCACATAGAGAACTGTTCTTGAAAGTTGTCCTGACCTCATCAAAATAAACATTTAAAAACAAACAAAAACCTTACTGGGGTGGCAAAAATAGGTTTTTGTTGACATGTATTTGTACATGTGCCAAGACTTCCAATTGTCATCCAGAATCACTCCCCAACCTTATACTTTGGGGAAGTCTATCACTGAATACACAGTTTGCAGATGTTGCTCCCAGGTTCCATTTCCATCCCCTAAGCACTGATACTCTAGGCAGACCACCACAGGCACCCAGCTTTCATTAGGTTCTGGGGTCCCAACTCCAGTCCTCATGCTAAATGCTTACCCACTGAGACATTTCCCCAGACCAAACAACGAGGCTTATCACTTGGGAAGGAACTTAGATCTTTAAATAAAGAGGTATGCATCTTTACTCTGCTATATTATCTAACAATTTATCAGGTGTTTATGGCTCCCCCCCCTAAACTACCAATCTCAGAAAGTTCCTTAGAAATTTTTAGTTTAAATGTACTTTAAAGGTATCTTATTCTCCACCTATACTCAAATACTCCTCACAGTCTACCCTTGTTAAACAGCCTTGTTTTGCAGCCTAGACAAACCTTCTAGGGTTACAGGCATGGACCACCAAATTCTCAAAGACTGCAGAGTCTCAGTTAAGTGCTAAGCATATAGGGCTAGGAACATGTTTCCATCCTCCTGTACTTAGAAATGCGAGTGTTGCAGCACCAGAAGTCAGTGGGTTTGTTTTTGTGATGCTGGGGATCAAACCAGGGCCTCCTGCATGACAAGCACTCACTGTCGAACTACAGTCCCAGCCCCAAGCAATTAGAACTGATGAGTTCATCACCAGTGAAAACACCTGTTTGGGCTGGAGAGATGGCTCAGAGGTTAAGAGCACTGGCTGCTCTTCCAGAGGTCCTGAGTTCAATTCCCAGCAACCACATGGTGGCTCACAACCATCTGTAATGAGATCTGGTGCCCTCTTCTCACATGCAGGCAGAACACTATATACATAATAAATAAATCTTTAAAAAAAAAGAAAACACCTGTTTATTTGCAACCTCTGTGTCTTTCACCCAACATTAGCAGCTTCCTTGTGCAGATAGAATGCTTACTCTCTGCCTCAAGAATGTACAGATCCATGCTTTGAGAAAAGCAAAGGCCAAGGGCAACAGATAACCCTTCAGAAACCCTAAAATACCAGCTAGAAAAACCACAGGAATCAAGCAATTAAAATTGTAACAAAAACAACCTCACAGTATTTATTGTCACCTGATAATAACATAAGGGCCACTAAAACAATATGAATAAATGTTTTGGACTGTGCTCCCAGCAGAATACACCTTTAAAAACACTGTACTTTCTCTTCAATTTCTGAGTGCCTGAGTTTCTAGTTGGAAACACTTTGGAGCAGAGTAATATTGTCTCCTTTCAGCATGATCCGACCTGTAACAACAATGAAAGATGTTAATAATCAGACATAGTCATCTTTTAGCTTCAGAATTTCATTTTGAATAGTATTTTGAAATAGTTGTCTTGATGCAGTATCTCCCAATACTAACTTCATGGAAGTTTTTAAATGAGGTGACTGTCAAATTTGGAAAATGCAGTATGTTTCAATTCCATCTTCAAAACTGTTAATAAGTTAAGAAGTCCACTTTGCTGGGTGAGATAGTGCACTCGTACAATGCCAGCACCTGGAGGCTAAGGTAGGACTACACATTTAAGGACAACGTGAGCTACCGAGGGAGAGTACCACAAAAGCATAGTACCATTTCTTAGATTCTATATTTTCCACTGTAGTATAAAAGAACCACTAGTGTTTGAGAAAGAGATATCTGAACTCCACCACTGATAAGTCAATCAGTGAGCACTGACTATTTCTTGATTAAGACTCCTTGTTACCTGGTTTTTTGGAATTTCTTTTTCTTTTTTTAAAAAGATTTATTTATTTATGATGTATACAGTGTTCTGTCTGCATGCATGCCTGCAGGCCAGATGAGGACATCAGATCTCATTATAGATGGTTGTGAGCTGCCATGTGGGTGCTGGGATTTGAACCCGGGTCCTCTGGAAGAACAGTCAGCACTCTTAACCGCTGAGCCATTTCTCCAGCCTCTGGAATTTCTCTTATGTCAAGCACTGAGTTAGTCACGGACTTACTGCAATCAGAGAGGACATGACTCATACACTTATGGAGCACCTAGTCTAACACAGAGGCAGTGATAAAATGGTATTTGATCTGAGTTCTGAAGACACGGAGCAATATATGTAAATGGACTTGGTGTAGCCCTGTAACACAATCCCTCGGGAAATGGAAGCAAGAGGATCTCAGAGTTAAGGCCAGTCTGGGCTAAACAGGGAAATCCACCTCAGACAGAGAGTGGGGCAAATGTGCAGGTTTAAAGAACTGAAAGAAGACCTGCATGGTGACTACTCTGAAAATGGGACAGTGGGACACAAGATGAGCAAAGACAAGGCCAAATCAGAAGGTTCTTGCAAAAATGAGGATTTGTCCTTTCATAGGGAACATAATGAAGACTCCTCTCTCTCTCTTTTGGTTTCTCAAAATGGGTTTCTCTGTGTAGCCCTGGCTGTCTTGGAACTCGCTCTATAGACCAGGTTGGCCTTAAACTCACACAGATCCACCTGCTTCTGCCTCCCGAGTGCTGGGATTAAAGGTGTGTGTCACCACCACTCAGATGGCAATGAAGAATTTCAAGTAAAAGTTAATGAAGTCAGACAGTGTTTCAAAAAGATGACTAAAATCTGGAGAGCAACCTGAAAGGGATGAAGGAGCTACAGAGAAGTTTAGTGGAAACGGCCACTCTGTAAGGCGTGAACACCAAACCCACGCTAAGCAATGTAGGAAGTAGGAAGCAAATTTGGTTTCTGATACGCTGATTTGGAAACACTCATGTGGAAATGCTCAATAGGTTCAGAGAAGAGGTTTGGACTAGACACATAAATATGGCAGTCAGTGTGTAGATTAGTTAACAGAAGCTGTGATGTTAATAAGTACCAAGGGAAAAACAGTGAAAGGAGAGCTGGGACCCAGCCTCAAACATTTAATGACTGGGTGGCTATACAGAATAGAAATAACCAGAGACGAATAAGAAATACTCATGGACTATGCCACAGAACTAAGGGATCAAAGTGTTTTAAGGAAGTAGTCAACTGTATCAAATTGGTTTAATGTTAAACATACGTGAGCACCAGTAATGACCATAAGATTGAACATTATTAGTTAGGCATGGCAGCAAATACTTATGATCCTAGTTCTTGGGAGGTGGAGGCAGGAAGAAAGTCAGGAGTTCACGGTCATCATTAACAAGACTGAGACTAGCCTGGGTTATGAGACCCTATCAATAAACAAAAAAGGGGGGGACACATGGACCCCAGACTGATGACTGAGAGACCAGCATGGGACTGATCCAGGCACCCTGCCCTCAACCTGGGTGTCAGAGAAGAGGCCTTGGCAACTTATGGGACCTTGGAGAGTAGATCAGTATTTATTCTGGGCATACAAATGGACTCTGGAAGCCCATTCCACGTAGAGGGATGCTCTCTCAGCCTGGACACATGGGGGAGGACCTAGGCCCTGCCCGGGATTATATGACAGACTCTGAAAATCCCTCGTGGAAGCCCTTACCCTCCTTGGGGAGCAGAAGGGAGATGGAGTGGGATGGGGATTAGGAGGAATGGGGGGGCCAGGGGAGGAAGGGAAGAAAAGGGAACTGAGAGTAATATGTGTAAAAAGTTAAATATATATAAAAAACAAAACAAAAAAACCAAAGGAATAGGTTAAAGAGTCAGTGGCAAAAGATGACTTCAAAAGCAGCTTTGCAAATTTAAACTAAATTTAAATACAAATTCAGCTTCAGGCCACTCAAGTTTGCTAGCTAAATAAATATAACGCTAATTGTATTCTTACCCAGTTGTTTCCTTGACTTAGTTTTAGAGTGAATCTCTTCTGCATCATCTAATACGAGGTTCATGTATTCATCAAAGCCCTGGAAAAATCAATTGACAAATCATTTTCAAGTAAACTACATCCAAACTTTTTTTTTTTTTTTTTTGGTTTTTCGAGACAGGGTTTCTCTGTATTGCTCTGGAGGCTGTCAGTCCAGCCTGGCCTCGAACTCACAGAGATCCGCCTGCCTCTGCCTCCCGAGTGCTGGGATTAAAGGCGTGCGCCACCACTGCCCGGCTCCATCCAAACTATTCTAAACAACTAAAAGAATAATGAGATTCAGAAACACCAACTAATTTTAGAAGTTTATCCCTTGAGGCAGTGGTGGCGAAGCCTTTAATCCCAGCACTTGGGAGGCAGAGGCAGGCGGATCTCTGTGAGTTCGAGACCAGCCTGGTCTACAAGAGCTAGTTCCAGGACAGTTTCCAAAGCCACAGCAGAGAAACCCTATCTTATAAAACAAAACAAGTTTATCCCTCCACTGATCTTTCAGCTTAAACACTAAAAGAACATGTGATGATATACTGTTTATGATTTAATAAAGCTTGCCTGGAGATCAAAATACAAAGCTAGTCACAGCCATGGAAGCTGGGCAGTGGTGGCAGACACCTTTAATCCCAGGACTCAGGAGACAGAGGCAGAAGGATCTCTGTGAGTTCAAGGCCACCCAGGGCTACATGAAAATGAATCAGTCTAAAAGAGAGACAGAGCTCCCACCTTTAATTCCAGCACTAGAGAGGTATATAACACAGGAAAAGGCAGTCAGTCTCAGGGCAATTTGTCTCCAGCCACATTGAGGTTAGGATCACCCCAGTCCTGGTAGAGGTTAAGAGCTCTTTGGTTGCTTGCCTGCTTTGCTTTTCTGATCTTCAGTGTGAACCCCAATATCTGTCTCTGGGTTTTTATTATTCATGCTACAGACCTACTCATTTATTAACTGTATTTTTTATTATGTGGGTAGATATATGATATATATGATATGCACAGAAGTGCAGGTGCCTTGGAGACATTGGCTCCATCCACTGGAAGTACAGGCAGCTGAGAGCCTTCGAATGTATGTGCTGGGAACTGAACTGGGTCCTCTGGAAGAACAGAAAATGCTTATCTGCTAGTCACCACAGTCCCCACCCCACCCCTTTTTTTGAGACATTATTTCATGTGGCCTATGTTTGCCTTAAACTCCCAATCCTTTTACCTGACTCTGCTCCAAATGCTGGGATTAAGGTGTACACCACCATGCCTGGTCAAATGTGACATGGGCAATCTTGGGGCATTTAAAAAAAATTGGAGGGAGTGTTGGTCTGAGGATTATTTCATGCATGTTAGAGAAGTGGGTTACCACTTAGGTGCACCTACAGTCTGCCTCTTGTAAATAGCAAAGAAAGCTAGAATGGGACCCAAAGTACTTCTTCAATCTTTCGGACTTAAACATTCACTAGATATGCTAGCCAGATACTCATCTTTGTATAACCTATCCAATCCAGCATGTGCATGCATACATAAATATATTTCCACAAACTACTAAGCTTACTTTCCAACTGCTAAGAGATTATCTATATAAAATAACAAAATATGCTAACAATACTCCTAGAAATATTTTATTTTTCTTCAAAGCAGTAGGCAGCTTAGGGGGGGGGGACTTCAATTGGTAAAGACTTGCAATAAGAAAATGAGTTTGGAATCCTAGCAAAAAAAAGCAGGGCACAGTGGCACATACACCTGCACCTAGTGCTGGGCAGACACACAAGGATTTCTGGGGTTTGCTGGCCAACGAGTCTCATCAAATCCATGAGCTCCAAGCCCAGTGAAGGATCTTGTTTCAAAAAAAAGAAAAGAAAAAAAAAAAAAAGAAAGGATGAAGAGCAACAAAAGATACCCAATGCCCATCTCTTGCATATATACCCATACACACATGAATATATACATCCATGCACTGCACCACAAAAAGAAAATATTACGGGAGTGAGCATGGGTAGTGTGTGTCTATAAATCTCAGGAGGCTGAGGTAGGTACCTTGCCTCAAAAATACACAAAGCTGGGCTGGGCTCATCTTTGGTTAAGAGCACTACAGGCTGCTCATTCTGAGGCACGGAGTTCAACTCACAGCTCACAACCATCTTTAACTCCAGTTCCTGGGGATGGCACCCTCACACAGACACATGCAGGTAAACATCACTGCACATAAAAATAAATAAATCTTAAAAAATTAAAAAAAATTAGGAAGCCAGGCGTTGGTGGCGCACGCCTTTAATCCCAGCACTCGGGAGGCAGAGGCAGGCGGATCTTTGTGAGTTCGAGGCCAGCCTGGTCTACAAAGTGAGTTCCAGGACAGCCTCCAAAGCCACAGAGAAACCCTGTCTCAGAAAAAAAAATTAAGAATGCTCATGGCCATTAATCTCAACACCCGGGAGCCTCAGACAAAAGGATTTCCAGTGTGAGTCTCTCTTAAAGTCTCTGACTCACACAAAGACTCCAGAGAGGCAGAAGAGATGGTATGGTGGTTAGGAGCACTTGCTGCCCGTGCAGAGGACCCAGGTTTGGTTCCCAGCATCCACAGGATGGCTCAAAACCATCCATTTTCAGGTGAGACAACGACTTGTGACCCGTGCACACCAAAACACCCATACATACATGTATGTGCACACAGGCAAGCTACTGAGACTATAGCTCAGTGGTAGAGCAGGCACTTGGTATTCAAGAAACTCTGGGTTTGATCCCTGGCACCATCAAATACCAGCCAAACAACAAACACTGCTTACAGTATCCCGTTCTTGTGTAAGTCTCATTTAACCCTACCAGTTCCATTTAGGCATTACCTGGTCCAGAATTAAAACTCCCCATTTGGCTCAGGCCCCCTATAATTCTGATTTTTTTTTGGTTCCCACTCCTCACAAAGTAAGTTCTTAAAAGTTACATTCTCCTTTGCCTTTAAGAAAGGAACTAAGCTGGGTGGTGATGGCACATGCCTTTAATCCCAGCACTAGGGAGGCAGAGGCAGTGTGAGTTCGAGGCCAGCCTAGTCTACAGAGTAAGTGCCAGGACAGGCCCCAAAGCAAAACAGAGAAAGCCTGTCTTGAAAAACAAAAAAACAAAACAAAACAAACAAACAAAAAACACCAACTATTGGGGCTGGAGAGAGGGCTCGGAACATAAGAGCACTGGCTGTTCTTCCAGAGGACCGGGTTCAATTTCCGGCACCCATATGGCATCTTATAACTATAGCACTCGGTTCCAGGAAATACAACACCCTCACACAGACATACATGCAGGCAAAACACTGACGCAATAAAATAAATAAATAAATGAATGAAGAGAACTATCTAACCCTATCAACCAGAGCATGAAGAGGCTAAATAATGCGGGCCCCAAAGAGCTTTCCTTGGCTTCGTGGATATCGCTCTAGCTGGCTATTTTCCAAGATGCCTTTTCCTAGTGAACTAAGAAAAATAGTCTGGATACTCACAATAATACAACCCTCTATCCGCATATTCACTTGCTCATATAGCCACACCTGAATCCGAGACCTCTGGAATAAAAATAAAAACGGTTTTAGAAATATAAACAGACCCCTATATCATTACTTTGGTTACACAATAAGCAACTTATAAAAAAAGTTCCAATGAACATGACTCAAAAAATTTAACTAGTCTACATCTAATATCTATCAACTCTGGTTAAACTTGCTGAGAAACATTTTCATTTAATAAATGCTTGGACAAGGCTGTTCAAACTAATTTTCCTACACTCTCAAGACTTGATTATTGCTTCCAGCATGAATATAGTTAAACTTGTTCACAGCGTGGCACAAAACGTTTCTATCGCCCTTCTTAGCAAAAGTCAGATCCAAAATAGTGATGCCGCCCCATTCCCTCTCGATTTTCCGTGTCACACGTCTAGCCCGGCTATTACAAATCACAAAGGCTTAACCACTTCTCATTTGTCAAATCCTAAAATTAACACCATTAAAATCTCTCCAAAGGAGAGCATTTGCCACTAACTTCTCTGTATCTAACGTTTCCTTCTTTTTTGGTTTCTTTTTCTTCATTTTAAGTCCTGCTAAGGGAAAAGCAATATCCAAATGTCACTGTTAAGTTTACCGACATATCTGTGAAATGAGTGATTTTGTTCTCGCAGCGTAACGGTAATTGTGTGCATGCTTGCGTCAGACACAGACGTACACCATCTTATTAATTAGCGCTTTTTCCGTAATCTTATTCTCAACTGTGGCTCCCCCTCATCTTTTAAGTCTAAAGCACAGACCAGTGAAGTTGGTAAAGAAAAAAAAATAGCCAATTAAGCCTAACTTTCCTTTGGAAAGTAGTAAGGGAACAGTTAACAAGTGACTTACGTACATTTTGCAAGTATCTGAAGATGAGGTTCTGCACCGCGGCGATCAAGGAAAATACTCAAACAGTAGAGATTCTGCTCCCGCATCTGAGCGCCCTGAGGCCGGGCCTGGCTACACACGCAAGCACCAGAGACTACCCGGTTCCTGCACCCGGGGGCCTCGGAACTCTACAGACCCCCCACACACACATGCCGCCCTCGAGTCTCGAAACTTCCCGGCGGCCCGCATCCTCCTCTCCCATTCCGCTGACCCCGCTTTCCATCAGTATCGCCCGCCAGGCACGGCCCGCCCGAGCCCGCCTCCCTCAGCCCTTCAACTCCGCGCGCTTTCCGGCCGCCTCGCCGCCCCGGGGCCTCACGGGAAGCGGCCCGCACAGGGCTCCCCCTGCTCCCCGCGGGCGCTCACGGCGTCTACGGACCCAAAGGCCAGAGTTCACACGCCGCAGAGGATACGATGGGCTGCACCATCACCTTCTGCACCTTCTGGCCCTGGCCGCGGTACGCCATGGTGGAAGTCACAAAGACCACACGAGTAGGAAGGCCGCCTCAGAAAGCGACTTCCGGAAGTAAGACCTGGAAACGGAAGTGCCTGTGGTCGTAGGCGACTCGGGCTGGTCCTGGGAAACGCCTCTCTAGCCACGGAGCCGTTTTTTCTCTATGCTTATAACCTCCGCGGGCGGCCTCCCGAGTTAACCGCTCTTTGAAATCAGGGTCGGTCCCCCGGCGCCCCCTAGAGGGCACAGGGGCTTCGGTCAGGCGCCTGCGCAAATCGGCTTGCCCCTGCCTAGGTGCTCTTCTAAGAGCTGTTCTGGAATATATGCCTGGTAGCCGCGCTGAGAGCCATCATCTTGTCCAAAATCATCTTCATACCTCTCTTATTTGTTCTGGGCCCCAGACCGTCTGGATTATCAAGCCAGAAGCAGTGGTGCCACTGTGTTTTGCTCCTATAATGGATTCAACTCTCATCACCTTTATAGAGACTTACTGTTGAAATGGTAACTGAAGGTGGCAATATAGCTTGAAAATTCTGAAATTGGCTTACTGGGTTCAAATCCCTCTCAGAGTTGAGCAACCAATGACAAGTCATTAGGCCCCAATATCTCTGATTCGCTCTCCTCTGAAATGTAAATTGTTTCGTTTCTCTGTGTAGCCTTGGCTCTCCTGGACATCTCTTTGGCCTCAAACTCATAGAGTTCCTCTTGCCTCTACCTCTCAAATGCTGGGATTACAGGCGTGTGCCATCACCACCTGGCTGAAATGGATACTTAAATGTAGCTTCTGCAAGGGATCAAGTCTCAAGGAGGTAATAGTGCATACGTGTTCCTTGAATTATGTGGGATTTGCACACACCAGTAATCTCAGCTCATGGAAGATGCAAGCAAGAGTATCAATTTAAGGTCATCTGCTAAACAGTGTGTTCCAGAGCAATCTAAGCTACATGAGCCCTGGTTTCCAAGTAACAGCCCACATGGGGTTAAAACTGATAAACTTAAGGCAGTTGGAAATGTAAGTCAAAACACTCATTTGCCAGGTGGTAGTGCATGCCTTTTATCCCAGCACTCGGGAAGCAGAGGCAGGCAAATCTCTGTAAATTTCAGGCAAACTTAATCTACAAAGGGTAGATTAGGTTAAATGCTCCACTGCCTAAATTCCCTCTTTGCTTTTGACTAGCATTTCAGCCTACTTGGGCCCCTGACTACGACACCCCAAAGTCAGCAGGAAGTAGCACAGGAAAGAATACGTCGTCCCTTTTCCCTGGTTGAGATGTTAAATCAAGAGAAAACTCCCTTACATAGGCGACAAGATAACAATAAAAATTGTCCACTAGTAACCCAGGATTGGGTTACCTATAAAAAAGAGGAGGGAATGAAAGGGGTAAACTAAACTCAAGGGCTTCACTTCTAACAATTTAGAAATAAAGGGACCAGACCCTCACTCAGCCCCCTGCTTTAGCAGCCATGACAGGCTACAGAAAAGACACGTAGGCCTCTGACACAAAGAAACTCCAGATCCTCTGGCCTCCCAGAGCCTAGGGCCAAAACTGAACACAAAGAAACTTCCGGCACCCCCCCCCCCAACCTCCTAGATACTTGGTTCCTGGGAACTGTTTGGCCACAAAAGAAACTCCAGGGGAGACTGAAACCTCCCCTGTAATCTCCAGGATACAGTTCTGAAAACTATTGCTATCTATGTACAACAGGCCACCTGCAAATAAGACAATGCCATAGAAACCACAGAATGTTCCCTCTCAGCACTGACCAATGAAAATAATTGGTACATAGGTATTTTGTGCCAAAATATGACTTTGAAAATTGCTCCTAATTGTTCCCAAATCAGAAACCAACCCGCACCTGCAGATGTAGTCCTGTAAATTTTTTTTCTTTAAAACCTAGCAGTAGACAGGGAACTCCCTCTGGAGGCTGCTGTGACAGCTAGCCAGACCCTGTCATGGCTGGATGAACAATCAATACAATTAAAACCTTGCTTTTACACTTTGGTGGGTCTGTCTTTCTGGTGGTCTCTGGGGATCTTTGCAACTTGGGCACAATGGTGTCCAAGGTATTTGTTTGCCTTATTCTGGCCCCAGCCTTGAGAACCCAAATAGGGGGCAATAGTTGTTATGGGAACAGCTAAAACAAGACTAGCAAGGGGCTGGAGAGATAGTTCAGCCTTTGAGAGCACTGGCCACTCTTGCAGAGAACCTAGATTCAGCTCCCAGGCCCCTCTACTATCCTCTGTTGCTATCAGGCACACGTATTAATGTATATATACATACATGAAGGTAGACACTAATATATATAGAAATAAAACAAATATGAAATAGATTGGCTATGAATTTGTTTTTATCAAGACAGGGTTTCGCCGGGCGTTGGTGGCGCACGCCTTTAATCCAAGCACACTCGGGAGGCAGAGGCAGGCGGATCTCTGTGAGTTCGAGGCCAGCCTGGTCTACAGAGTGAGTTCCAAGTTCCAGGACAGCCTCCAAAGCCACAGAGAAACCTTGTCTCGGAAAAACCAAAAAAAAAAAAAAAAAAAAAAAAGACAGGGTTTCTCTGTGTGGCCCTGACTATCCTGGAACTCACTCTGTAGACCATACTGACCTTAAATTCACAGAGATCCATCTGCATCTGCCTCCTGAGTGCTGGGATTAAAGGTGTGCACCATCACCACCTGACCTGAAATTTTAATTTTTTTAAAGATGTATGTATGTGTGTATGTATGTATGTATGTATGTATGTATGTATGTATGTATGTATGTATACAGTGTTCTGCCTGCACACCAGAAGAGGGCACCAGATCTCATTATGGATGGTTGTGAATCACCATGAGGTTGCTGGGAATTGAACCCAGGACCTCTGGAAGAGCAGCGACTGCTCTTAACCACTGAGCCATTTCTCCAGCCCTGAAACTTTATTGTTATAGGTAAGTAACTACCTGGATTTTATTCTAAAACTTTGTCATTCCAGTTTGAAAATTTCCCTAACAGCTAGGCATGGTGGTACACACCTATCATCCTGGCACTCAGGAGGGAGAGGCAGTCATATCTCTGATTTAGAGGACAACCTGGTCTACAACATGAGTTCCAGGACAGCCAGAGCTACTCAGAGAAATCCTGTTTCTAAAAACAAAACAGAACAAATTTATGTATGAGTGTTCTGCTTGCATGTATGTCTGTATACCACATGAATGCCAGGTATCCCCAGAGGTCAAAAGAGGGTGATGGATCCCTTGGAACTATAGATATGGACAATTGTGTGCTGACATGTGGGTGCTGAGAATTGAACCTGGGTCCTTTGCAAGAACAAATGCTCTTAACCAATGATCCATCACTATAGCCCTCAGAATGTCATTTTATACATACTGTATTTGCTGATATATGAATGAGTCACAATTCAATAAATATATTCAATAGTAGAAACGGGCGTAACATTGGTTTCTTTTAAATTGTAATCATAATACCCTTGTAAATCTTGAGATTTCCATGACCCCACCCCCACCCCATGTCTGTAAAACTTGCTTTAGGAGCACTAGCTCAGATACTTCTGATTTAATTTGATTGACATGCTGTCTGTATCTCCCAGATTCCATACCAGCTGAAATTGCTTTGTGGCCAAAGCTGGCCTTGAACTCCCAATCCTCCTGCCTCTCTGCTTTCTCATTGCTGGGATTATAGGCATTCACCGCTATTGCCAGCCACTTTGCAAACATTTAAGACCTCTCTCCATTCAGGTGAAATTTCGTTTCACCTGGAAGCTGCACAGCTAGAACAGCTGGGCCTAACTGGAAGCACGAGAAGGATATTAGGGAGTTACAGGGCAGCCCAGAGATCAGCAAGCCAGAAATGAGTCAAGAATGACTCAACAAATGTTTGTCACTCCTGTTATGAACTCAGCTGCTTAAGTTCCATCCCTTGGACTGCAGAATGGGGCTGTGCTTGAAGACAAGGTGGTTCGCTTCTGTCTCTTTTTTTTTTTTTATTTTGAGATAGGACTGTTGAAGAAATAACGTATGAAATTTTGAGTGGGACTGAATCTCATCTTTCTGGTGTCGTTAGAAGAGAAAGAGGACGGGAGATGTAGGTCATAGTTGAGTATTTGCATTGCATACATGAGGTCCTGGGTTCCATGCCCAGCACCCAAACAAAAAACAACAAAGACAGCATAGAGGCCTCCAATTTCTCCATGGGAACTGAAGAAAGGCCATGTGCAAGCAGCTATCCACAGCCAGAAAGAACCTCGCTAGAAATACCACTTCCATCTGGCCAGGCCTTTACCCTCAACTAAGTAAATCTATTGGCCTATTTGGTTTGTAGTAACATACGGCCTGGTTAAACTAATGCACCCATATTAGCTACAGACACTGTAAAGACAAGTAACTGTTTTGATCATCTCTCTTCTCCATCCTCCCTTGTGCTAGGGACTGAATCCAGGGCCGTCTTCATGCTAGACAAGCAAGCAACCTTTTGATCTGCACCCCCAGCACTTTCTGCTCTGAGGCAAGTATTGATAAACATTTTTGGGGGGAGGGGCATTGAGACAGGGTCTCTACATAGTAGCCCTGGCTGTCCTGACTGACTATGTAGAGCAGGCTAACCTGGAACTCACCTGCCTCTGTCTCCCAAGTGCTAGGATTAATGAATGGTATGTGCTATGCCCAGCTGATAAGCAACTAAAATACAGAATGAATGAAGAGTACATGCCTGGTGGATAGATATCAACCTTGTTTGAAAAAAAAGGAAAGTTTTGGAAGAAGCAGTCCAATAGTTATGGCCTCTTACGTAGGAGGCCACATAAACATTTAACGAAGGCAAGGACTGAAGAGATGACTCCCAGGTAGAGGATTAATTGTACTTGCAGAGGACCCAGGTTTGATTCCCAGCAACCACATGGTATCTTACAACCACTTTTAAGTCCAGTTCCAGGGAATTTGACACCTTTGGCACTAGGCATGCAAATGGTGCACAGACACACATGCAGGCAAAATACACACATTTAAAACAATCCTAGCTTGTTGCTCTGGAGTCACTGAGTACTTTTTGCTAACTTTACTATAATGTTAAAAGATTGAACTCAGATCATCAGGTTTGGTAGTCATAGCT